GAGATTCAGAGGGGGTCTTAGGTCTTAGTTTTTGAGATTCAGAGGGGGTCTTAGGTCTTAGTTTTTGAGATTCGGAGGGGGTCTTAGGTCTTAGTTTTAGAGATCCAACGGGGGTCTTAGGTCTTAGTTTTAGAGATCCAACGGGGGTCTTAGGTCTTGGTTTTAGAGATCCAACGGGGGTCTTAGGTCTTTAAAATTTTCGATTTAGATGCCTTTGAAGTTTTATGGTTTTGTTCCTATTCTGATCACGTGACTGCTCAAATAAACTTTTACAGGACTCTTCAATGGAGTAAACATGGGCAAAAAGCTTATCCTTAGGAGGTCTGGTTTTCAAAATATGATCATTAGAAACTTTCAGTAGCAACAAATTCATGACCACTTCGTAGTTAAGACGGACTCGCCATAGTAACTTGACAAGACAAACATTGACACCAAAATAAATTAACAGATTTCTGAGAGAAAAAATCTTTCGCTCAAAATTGATCAAATAGAAATATCAAGTTTCCCTGGGAGACCTTCATCATTTGACTTGTTGCTACACCCAGGGTAGAGAATTTGACCCCATATGGGAAGGGTAGGAGAGGATGTGGACAAATTCGTAACGAGCACAAAATGCGAATGCAAAAGACAAAAACAAAATAGGATTCTACAGTGCAATGCAGGCTCACAATCATTTTGCATGTTCACTTGACCTAACTGGTAAAATGCTGTACTAAACTTAAGGCTGTGGTCTAAGAAAAATTACAAGCCCAAAGGTTCTTAACCATGAACTCCTGGGTGCCCAGCACTTAAGCTTAGTTTTTCCAGCCACCCAAAGGCAAGAGATAGTCACCTGTGGCACCTGGGCTCGTCTAGAGCACGGCGCTGAAACTTGGAATGATATTATATTACATTGCATTGCATTGCATTGCATTGTAACACAAATAAACCCATAATCCTCATCTGGTTCTGAAAAAGCGCTAATGCTCAAAACATCAGCTTTACAAACTCGCTACCGTGGGTAACTTAATCTTTACCAACTAAAAGTTGATAAATAGCCAAGTGTTTTACTTGTCTGCTAAGCAATAACATTTCTTTTGAATCAACCACCTTTGTTCTGTTTGTATCCCATTAGATAAAAGGAGAAATGTTAAAAATATATGTCCTAGTGTAACTGTACATATCAAACACCAAGCTCCAAGAGCGTTATTTTAATTTCAATGTTTTTGCAAACGTTTAATAACAGTCTTTTTAACAAAAGAAGTCACAACAAATGTATGCACACTCTAACCATGCTGTTGTTAACCTAATGGCAATTCATACAATTGGCATAATTTTTTAAAACTTATTTTACATTAAAAAAAGATTCACTCTTTATCATCATATACTAAAGTTTTCTTAGAGTGATATCTGACAAAAGTTCACACACTGGATTGAAATTGAGTTCAATTCTGATGCAGAATTAAACAATGTTGCAATCCACTCTAATCTGCAGCAGTCCACTGGACAAACACAAAGTAGATATTCAAACCTCCAGAAAAGTTTCCTCGAGTACAAATGACTGCATTTCAAACAGAGGACATTAACTGTACATTATATTAATTGGCAATTAGAAACATGGCGAGACCTTGGGTCTTAGCCTGCTGACAAGTCAGATGATTTTGTTCTTTAGTATCTTCACCCTGTCAGGCGAAGCAACAGTGAAAAATGTTCGATCCAAAGTAATCCCTGACAAAAATCTGCACTTCATTCAAACGATCCAGGTACAAATAATAAACTTCTCCAAAGACTTCTTTGTCCAAGAAGATCCACATATACAATCAGTGACACTTCTTTCCTTGGTTCTTGACGCAGAATCCTGAGACATTCTCTCTTTTTCTCTTTACTTCACACAGATCAACGGGACTCTGCCCAATCTGTTATCCCCTGCACATTGAACTTCCCATGATTCAAAACATCACCTCATAGAGGGTTGCTTTCTTATCACCCGACCCTGTGACAATGTATTTGTCATCTGTTGAAATATCACAGCTCAATACAGATGAAGACTCTTTGGACTGCAAGTAGAAACATAAGAAAGGGTTACTAGAATATCACTATCAGTGCACTGTTGGGTTCTCAAGGAGTGACATCATCATTCAAAACAATAATTTTGATAGCTTGATATGATGAACTCATGCAATATCTGCAATACCCCTTAAAGTGATGAGCACCATTTCCAGTGGCTTCTACCTGAATGGCTTTCAAAGTTTAGCGAACAGAGCTGACCCAAATACACATCAACACAAAAACAAACACAGGCAATGTCAACTCCACCACCAAACATGTACATTTTGAAAGGGTGAATTTCAAACATGCCCATTAGAAAGTTGACTCATTAGTCAAGAAGCTACACTAAGTCATGTCTAGTACAATGACAAAACGTTCATCAATATGATAACCTACTAATGAAAACTTTCTGTTTCTCATGAAAAAGACCAACCTGGAAAATGCTGGCTCCATAGGGTGTTCTCCAAGCATTGAGCAAGTTGTCTTTACCTGTTGTAATAAACCACTTGCCAGAATAGGCAAACTTTAATGACAGCACACAACTTTCATGCAAGTGTAGTTGATACTTGTCTGGTTTTGTTTGATGAAGAACTTCCACATTGCTGTTCTCCATTCTACAGAAAAAAACATCCAAAATAAACAAGTAAAAAAATAAATAAGTGATTTTCAGCTACTCTTTTTCCTTTTAGTGTTGTGCTTAAACTCTCAATTCTCACAACCAATTGCCATAAAATTCTTGTAGTGTCAGTGCAGAAAATTTGGTAATATAAAGATGGCAAGCCATGGTTGATACAACATACTAATGCTTTTATGAGAGCATGTGGTGGCCTCATGGTTAGTGTGCTCATCCCCGGATTGAGCAGTCTGAGTTCGAGCCCTGTCCAGGGTCATTGTGTTGTGTGCTTGGGCAAAACACTACTCTCACAGTGCCTCTCTCCACCCAGGTGTAAAAATGGGTACCAGCAAACTTAATGCTGGGGGTAACCCATCCAGGGGGGGGAGTAGAAATATTCCTAGTCACTTCATGGTACAGAAACCGGGATAAGCTCCTGCCTGATGGGCCAATTGGCACATATGCAGACTTTGCCTCCATGACAGAGAATAGATCCAGTAAAAACTTTGCCCCTTGGGATAAGAGTCCACTGTGCCTGTAGTGTTTGTAGTGACTGGGACCATGACTATGTGCCCCCTTACAGAGTCTGTTAGCAGGTGTGATGGTAATTTTGATCATAACTTACCCTACAGCCAGCCAATCACCAGATGGGCAATATCCTAAGGAGAAGATCTGTGATGTAAAATCATGCTGTTGTAGTTGTCTTCCTTCTCTGAGATCCCAGGATCTAACTGTGTTGTCCAAACCACCTGTTTCAAAACAGTCAATCAGTGATACGATGTTTAATCAAATGATTTCCAAACACTGGACGTCAAATATTAACAGAGCGTAATTACCGGTAAATTGCTCTAGGAGTGCATTACAACAACAAGATTTGAACTAGTCTCTGTTCTATAATCTCCCAATTAACAGGGTTGCCAAAGTTCAGGTTTTGAAAACCACTTTAAGTCTTGAATTTTATTTTGCAATTATTATGCAAAACAACACAGCACCAAACAAACATACTGTTCAACAGTTTTCATTTGAATGGTCACACCCTACAGTTTTGTTGATAATCGTGAGTTCAGTTGGAACAGCAAAATAGGAATGCACCACATGAAAGTAGCATTCGATAGAAGTTGTCTAAATGGTAACACATTACAGTAAATTCAAGAGAATGATTGCTTCGTTAAATGACTTCAACTATGAAATTGACTTAAGAATAAGCAAGGAGATAAATTTCAGACAAGTGTTCCATACCTGTCCATAACTTAGCGCCATCTGGTGAAATATCAATACAACTCGCACCATCGGTGTGACCTTGGAATTGTCTGACCAATGTTTGATTATGTAAGTCCCAAACAGCGATATTTCCATCACTGCAACAACTGAAACACACTTTTGAGTCAGGACTTATTGCCAGTGCATAGCAGGCTGGTGCATTTGAAGTAAGTTCATTCTTTATTCGTGGTTGTGATGATGCAAGATCCCATATTGTAAGTGTACTAGCTTCACCACCAACTATTAGCGTCCTTCCATCAGGTAATAGCCGGCAAGATCTAATGTAGTTATCTCTCTGTAAAAATAAGCACATGCAACATATCATTAGAAAGGTGAGGATTTGCTTTCTGATTTAGGTTCTTTAGCAAATTGCAGTCATAAACCCAAGTTTCTGATGCCAGAGTGAGGTCATTTCTATAGTTCAGACTTCTCACACACAGCTAGGAGACATATCACGTCAACACACATCATATAACAACAGTACAAAAAAAACCAAATAAAACAGAGACCCAAATTAGTACATGTGGGTACATGTACAAGTGTACTACATTATCAAACACTTCTAATGACTCTAAAGGCTTATGACTTCTAATCACTTCTAATGGCTGGCAACAAAGAAACTGAACCAAGAACTACATGGAGCTCATACATGTACCATTCCATTCAAGTCAAATTACTGATCACTTAAAAATTAGAACCACATGGACTATCAAAACTGAATGAGGTTTACTACTACAATATGATCAGGATCACACACAAATAGATCATGAAAATGAACAAAAAATAAATTAGAGGCCGATATCCAAACAGGATTGTCATAATGACTTACCAAACACTCTAATGTTGATATTGGGTTTTTTCCACTACTTTGACCTATATCCCACACTTTGACACATCCCTGTTGAATTAAAAACATTGTTATGACACATCTTAGCGTGTCCATCTTGGGGAAGGCATGGTAGTTCGATGGTTACTGTACTAGGTTTGTTTGAGGAGCTGTGGTTGACTACACTGCATTGTGTTTTTGTGCCGAGTATTGTACCTTCACAGAACCACTCAAAAGTATTAAATACAGGTATCTGTAAATTGTTGGTACATCCCAATAGAATACTTGGGGAAGGGGGAGGGGCAGTAACGTTGGATATAGTATATCAATTGTAATACTAAGCTGCCTCATACCACAGAAAGCAGAGTTAAGGGGCTTGTGATCAACACCTTATTTTTTTCTTGCATTATCAAAACATAAATCTTGCAGACAGGTGAGAACAACAATTTTTATTTGAATTCTTGACCTTTGAAAAACTGGCCACATCGAACATTTCAAGCTTACAACAGGTGCTTGAAATGTCAACAGGGATTTACAATGAGTCTGACAATGTTTGTGAAAAAAAAATCCTCAGTCTTCCTGTTACTTTACAATACCATTTAACCTATTATCAACCGAAAGTGCTTACTTTCCCCCCAGTGTAGACATGGCGTGTTGGATGACTGATCGTAACAGCGCAAACCACTTCTCCATGGTTAAGTTGGTTTATCTGTCTGGCGTGTCGTGGGATACTTGATCCAATCAGAGCATCTGGTGGAAATGGCACAGCTTGCATCTGACCATCACCACTAACGTAGAATGAATATGCAGGTTTACCTCCAGGAGGGCCTGGTGGGAGGCTTGGTCCAAGTGGCGGCATGCCCACTCTTGCTGCTGGAGTGCCGTGTTCAAAGCCAACCTATCAAAGTAAACCAATGTGACTTCATAAACTAGAGTGTTAGCCAACTGTAAAGGCCCTTGGATGCCACAGCAGTCTGGAGTTGTCTTATTCTGTTATAACAACTTTGAACCCAAACTGAATAGGTAGACGAACTGCAAATTTAAGTTTATTCCCCCGACAAGATTTTTCAACGAAGATTAAAAGCCCTTGTAATTCGTTCCACCAAACATGAATGACATTTTCCATTGGTTTAAGATCAACTGCATAGTGTCTGTGCTAAGACAGGACTGTTAGTCAGTGTCTGCTTTTAAGTCTCCCCTCAGGGAGGTGAATGTAAGCTGTCTATTAACGATATGTAACCCAACTCAAAAGTCTGGTTTGAAGGACTTTTGAATGCAAACAGAAACTACTGTATGCCAGTAAATTCCCATTAGCAAGATGTAATTTTAGTCGTAGGGAGCAAAACGATCTACCTACCAGCGCTGATCTACCATAACCAATTCCACTGGCAGACATGCTGGCAGCCATAACTGATGGCGAAAATGATGTTGGACTGGAAAGTTCACTGAAAAGGAAGGTAATCAGATGTTAATTCAAAGAATTAGGAATTACATGCCTAAGTCGATGGTGCAACTTCAGAGATGCTCTACAGTGCCCACCACCCCCTCCCCTTCAAAAAAATCTATGAAACATTTTAGAACTGAGCAGTCCATTTTAGGCAACAGGTCTTATTCAAATCTTCTGTCAGTAAGATCAGAACGGATGGTTGCTTTTCCTCGAAGAGAAAGTTAAACAGTGTTTCAGGCAGAAAATTTTACTTGAGGGCCAAAGTGGCCCCTGAAGATCTTTTTTATGGGCCATTTTTTTAGGAAAGGGGCCATTAAATTGAAAGCTACAGAAGGAAAAAATG